TTGGCTTCAGGAGTAGAATCTAGTGATGCATCTCTCACATATGACACCCAGTGCTCAGCCTAAAAAGTACCCTTCTTAATGCCCATCATCCATTAAACCCATCCCCCCTCCTCCCTCCACCAACCCCCAGTTTGTTCTCTGTATTTAAGAGTCTCCTATGGTTTGCCTCCCTCTGTGTTCCCTTCCCTTCCCCTATGTTCATCTGTTGTGTTTCTTAAATTCCACATATGAGTGAAATCATATGATATCTTCCTTTCTCTGACTGACTTATTTTGCTTAGCATAATACCCTTGAGTTCTATCAATGAATGACTAAAGAAGATGTGGTCCATGTATATGATGGAGTTCTAGTTGGTGATGAAAAGGAAGGAGTTTAGATTTAAATACATGGTGAAACATCTTTTATCCTTTCACACAGAAAGGACAGGTGTTTGTGGCCTGAAGTTTTTGACCAGTGCTAGATTACTCAATAGGAAGACAGCCAGCTTGATAGGGACACAGTTTTTATTTTTTTAAGAATTTGATAATTGATTTTAAAAATGTATAAACCCATCTTAAGGACTTACTTTACTTTGTAACAATTATTTTACTACATACTAGTGTTTCTATTTTTGATTATATATGGAAGCACACTTTACATTTTAAGGGTTAAGCTCTCTAAAAAATGTACTTTTTGCCTGGTGAGAACTAACAGGTTTCTCTCTAAAGCTGTAAAGATTTTCATTGTGGACAATGTGGTGATATTAATATATAATGCCTATCAACAAGGTATTTGGAGATCCTCCTGGAGATCAAATTTTGCATTGTAGCAATTTGTGGAATAAGAACAAGCTAATGCAGCATGAAGGAAACAGTTAAGCAACTTCTCTTGAGAATACAAATGAGACAGAAAGGATCTGGTCAACACTAATTGATAGGTAATAACTAACTCATTTGCACATCACTAGTACACTTATCATTTATTAAACGACAAATGCTACATTGAGAAGATAATATCAAACTCCGAGAATTTTTGTCATTAATTACCATCTTTTTGTAAAATCAAATACATCCTCAACTGTAAGACTCTGTTACTTTAGGTGAAATTAAAACAAAATAAATCTTCCAATTAATCTATAAACACTACAAATGCTAAGTCGCACTCTGACTTTAGACTTGTTAGGATTTAAAAATATGGGTGCCTTGGAATCAATTAAGTACAGTAGTTAAATAATTTGCCCAACTAAAAGTATCATTGACCTACTATGTGTTGGATACTATGAGAGGCACTCTAGTCATAACAGAAGTGGTAGAGTACAATCTATGTCCCCAAGCTGTCAACAGTTTGCAAAAGTAGGTAGAAAATTAAATAAGTAACAGTAATAAAGTTTGGACAGTGCTTTAATATGGGGAATATGAACTGATGTTTGGGCTGGGACGCAAATGATAGATTCTAGCTAGCTAATATGTAGTGGGTCAGGAAGGGTGTCCTAGCTAGGAGGAGTAGACCAGTGGAAATAGAAAAAGGGTGGTGCTAAAAAGTTTTAGTATGGCTAGAACGCACTATTTGGGTCATAAAACTTAAGTGTCAAGAAATGGGATTAAAGAAATAAAAAGATACAAGTTGCTGAAGGGTTGGTAAGCCAAGAGTGATAGAAAACTACACTGAGATATGTAATAGCTATCATTTAATACAGTCAGGGTGCTAGTCACCCTGAGTGCATCTTCTCCTTGAAATACCCTGTTTCCTTTGGAATGAAGTGGAATTAAATGTTTATTGTAAGGAAAATGTTTACCTGGAGAATCAACCTGTAATTAAGAGAACTTTGTGACCTGAGACATACAGGTGTGCCCATAGAGTGCATTTGACACATGCAGGGAAGCTTTGACTCTGCATCTGGGAAGCTGGATGTTGTCTGAAAATTATTCTTTCATCTGAATGTAACAACAGACAAGATTTTAAAATTTGCATTCACAAAACAGAATACTAAATAGTGGTGAAAATGAATTAAATAGTGCTATATGCATCAACATCAATTTAGGCCATAAATATCATACTAAGAGAAAAATCAAATGGCAAAATGATATATAAAAGTATGATTCTACTTTTATTAAGTTTAAACCATACATAATAAACTATACATTATTTAATGATATAAACATGTAAATGTACAATGTAAAAATCAAGGTTTCTATATTCTATTTTGCTATGAACATGTGTTGGTATATGTGTTAAGGTTTGTTATGAGAAAATGGGTTTTTATAATATTTCTCATATCAAGTACCTTCAGCATATAGTATATCACAAGGCCTTCTCCTGTTTAATTAATTTTTATCAGTCATCACATCTTAGCATATCTAAGTGTCAGAATCTATTAGGGTATTACTCTCTCTAGTTAAAATTTCAAAATCAGAGATTTCAGAGCAAATAAGTGAGAGAGCCAGGACTAGACCAGGACTTTTTTATCTGTAGCCCTGAGCTTCTTCCTGTGTAGACATTACTGATTATTGACTATGAAAGTTCCCCCCACCCCAAACTGTTAAAGAAGAACTCTTGAGCCGTGCTACCCAAGTCAGTAGTCATTAGCCTTCTGTTGCTAACACTTTGGAAGCCACAAGTTCAGTATTTGGGGAGGTGTCAGTCTATGTGTCCACGAAATTTCTTCCCCAAACATGGTCTTAATTTTGATAAAACAAGCTTCCTTGAGCAGTGCCTGGATGGCTCAGTTGGTTGGGCATCTGACTTTGGCTCAAGTCATGATCTTGTGGTTAGTGAGTTTGAGCCCCACGTTGGGCTCTGTGTTGACAGCTTAGAGCCTGGACCCTGCTTCAGATTCTGTGTCTCCCTCAGCCTCTACCCCTCCCTCACTTGTGCTCTGCCTCTCTCTCTCAAAAATAAATAAAAACATTTAAAAATTGAAAAAAGAAAAACCCCAAGCTTCCATGTTTGAGAGTTTTGGTTTTTTTGGAGCTGGGCTCTTCACCTAATAAGTTTTGGATCTAGTCCTCAAGCTTTCTCTTTTTTCACTCCTCAGAGGAAGAAGAATACATCTGTGTGAACCCTCAGGGAGTCCCTTTTTTATCTTTTCAGTTGCCTGTTAATTAGCAGTAGCTATTTACTGTATTTTTCTGTAGTATCAGTTATGATGCTTAACAATAGTCATTCAATCCTATTTTTCTTAAAATTGTTATTTCCCCTATACTTATTATATGGTACCAGTATACTATTTTGAATCACTGAATGATCCAGGATAGGACCTAGGTCAGTCTAGGGTGCATAAGTTATACAAATAAGTGACACAGAATTCCATATCAATTATTTTTATTGAACCATTGTTTATCTCTCAGCTCACACCTGTGGTTTCCTAGAGGGTTCCCTAGAGCCACGTGACAGAGAGGGAAAATTCAGGTCTAATTCTCTTCAGTGGATTCTGACAGTGTATATCTGCTGTACTTCAGCCCAATCAAAGTGTGGTACTACAGGACAGTGGTAAGAGGAAACCCTTCCAGTGAACGGAGTTGGGAGTAGTATGCTTGTCATTCACTCTGTATCAAAGTGACACATGATTTAACTAGTTGAATCGGAACCAAGAAAGACAAAGATTGAAACATATGAAAAAGAAAGTCTGGAGTATTACATTCAAATAGATTTTTTTTAATTTTAAAAAATTTTTTATTTATTTCTGAGAGAGAGAGACAGCATGAGCAGGGGAGTGTCAGAGACAGAGGGAGACACAGAATCTGAAGCAGGCTCCAGGCTCTGAGCTAGCTGTCAGCACAGAGCCCAATGTGGAGCTCGAATCCATGAACCATGAGATCATGACCTGAGCCAAAGTCAGACGCTCAACCGACTGAGCCACCCAGGTGCCCCATATTCAAATAGATTTAGATTATTGTGTATCTAACAATAATGTTTGACAGAGACAAAAAACCTCTATCATGGAAGAGAATGTCAAACACTAGGTGGACAAAATGGCCCATCCCACTAAACATCAGCTCATTTCTCAGCCAGTTCAGTGTTTATACAATGGACCCAAAAACAAGATGTCTCTGTTGGCTGAGATGGAACTATGCATGGGCCCAACAGTGTGGGTTCATTCTTACTAAGGCTGATTAACTATCAACACTGCTGAATGTACAACCTACCAATGGTAGCAACCAGTGTGGGTCCTCAATACGTATGCACTCAAGTTGACAATTTGAAGGCATATTGAAATGATACATGGTGAAATTATTGGACCTTTTCAGATCAGATCCTTCAAGAGGAGACAACAATTTAAACTAACCAGAATTAACATAATTCTGAGTATGGATTTGCTTTCCTACATTCAGTACTTCACCAACCTTATCACCTGGGTCTTAAAAAAATCCCTAATTCATTAGAATGGGATCATCAAAATTTCCTTACACTAACAGGACAATTTTATGACAAACAAGGTGAGGTAATGCATGAATTTCCATTACCACTGACTCTACTTGCTTTACTTCACATGGTATCACCATAAAGTGTTAACTAAATGTGGTAATAGAATGACCTCTTAACTGATCAGTAAAATGACAGCTCAAAGCCAAGACACCATGCAGTTTTGGTATGCTGTCTTGTAAGGTGTGTAATATCCATTAAACTAATGGCCAATATACAGTGTTGTGTCCCTAAGATCTAGACTGCCAGTCTCGTGATCAAGTCATAAAAGTACCATTGGCTCCTTTTCCTATTACTCTTGTCAATCTATTTTAGAAATTTTTATTTCCGGTATTCACAATTCAGATTCCATTAGATGAGAAGTCTTGATTTCTAATGTGGGAATGTTTCTTCTAGTGGACACAATAAAGATCCCACTGAACTTGAAGCTAAGATTACTACCTCACTGAGTTGGGCTGCTCATGCCAATGAGTTATCATGCTGGCAGGGGTAATTGACCCTAAACATGACAAAGAGATAGAGTTGATGCTATACAATGGCGAAGGAGGAGAGAATGTCTGGGATGCAGAAGATTCACTGGGAATCTCTTGGTGCTTCAGTCCTCAGAAATAAACCTGAGTGGAAAACTGAAGAAATCAAAGTACCCCATGGATAAGTCAACTAAGTGCTCAGACTCCTTGAAGATTTGGGTCCCCTCTTGGACAAGAAACCCATGTTAGGTAAGTGAGGGAACTCTAAGAAAGGAGATGATGAATACCAATTATGACTTGGGATGATTTACAGATGATAGGACTATAGCCAAACTAATCCTCTTCTGTAAAGCTTACAGCCATCTGGCAATTTGGAGAGTTGATAATGGATTGGAATTAATGGAGGTTACCAGCCTAGGCAAGTGCACACTAGAAGGACTATATTAAATACCTCGTGCACTACCCCATTTCTTCCCTGCCTCACGTCTCATGCTAGTCATTGGTTTAGCAAACAATACTGTGCAGACTGTGCCTAATATCAAGCATGCATTGCTTCTTGCATACTGCTTTGGTGTTTTTCTGGCCTGTGCCTTGGGACATCTGTGGGAGCTAGCTGAGAATTCTCATGTGCTACCCAGAAGTTCAGGAAGTTTATAACTCATAGAGAAACTCTCAATGGAGGATAGGGTCTGATGTGTAGTTTCTTCTTCTTTACATCCCTTGAATCTTGAGATCCTTATAAATTTCCCCAGTCCAGGTGGGACTGAGCACTCAGTCTCCACAGAAACAGTCAATTTGAAAACGTATATATAGTTCTCGTCTCTCCTGTTATACTTCCCCTATATCTTAGTCCATTCAGTCCACCACAACAAAATATAATAGACTAGGTGGTGGATGAATAATAAACAGTTACTTCTCATAGTTCTGGAGGGTGAGATGTCCAAGAATAAAGTACTGCCAGATTTGGTGTCTACTGAGGGCCTGCTTCCTGGTTCGAAGACAGCCATCTTCTTGCCATGTCATCACATGATGTAGAAGGTCAAGGAACATTCTGAGACTCTTCTTCTATAAGGACACTTGTTCCATTCATGATGGCTCCACCCTCATGACATAATTACTTCCCAAAGTCCCTACCTCCAAATACCATCACATTGAGGATTAAGTTTCAACACATAGATTTTGGAGGGACACAAGTATTCAGTCTATGGCACTCTCTTTCCTCACTTCCACTCCCTGGGTACATGTGCCCAGTACACTATTTGCATTAACATCACTCTGAGCTGTGTTTTAAAGGGAATCTATATTATGAATATGACATGAATATGTATATCTTTTCTTTAAATATATTCCTTAAATTTGTTATCCTCACATAATCCATACATGTACCAGTTTTCAAAGCATCACAATAGGTAAGATATCTAGAGGTGTGAGGATAAAAGAAGAGGGAAAAGGGGTGCCTGGGTGGGTCAGCTGGCTATGCAACAGAGTCCTAATTTCCACTCAGGTCATGGTTTCACAGTTGGTGCATTTAAGCCCTACCCTCCACCCCCACATTGGACTCTGTGCTGACAGTGTGGAGTCTGTTTGGGATTCTCTATCTCTCTGTCTCAAAAATAGATAGATAGATAGATACATAGATAGATAGATAGATAAGAAAACAAAAAGGAAAAAGGAGACAGAAGAGAGTTCTGCCACCCCCACCGCAGCCTGTACTGCAAGCACGGCCCTACACCGTTGTCTCCTTCCCTGTTCAAGTGTGCTACAAGGCCATGCCCATGCTGCTGGCTGGTCAGGACCAGAGCTAGGAGGAAGAAATGGTGACCAAGGAAGCCTGGCTGCAGGACTCACTCAAGGCCTCTAGTCTTGGCTTTGGGCAGCTTCCCAAGTTCCAGGATAGAGACCTTATCCTGAACCAATCCAATGCCATCTGAAACACCTGGCCTGTTCCCTTGGGCTCTATGGGAAAGACCAGCAGGAGATGACTCTGGTGGATATGGTAAAAGACAATGTGGAGGATCTTTGGTGCAAATACCTTGTCTTTATCTATACCAACTACAAGGCAGGCAAGGAGAAGATGTAAAGGCATGACCAGAGCACCTAAAGCTTTTTGAGATCCTGCTGTCCCAGAACAATGGGAGCCAGGCCTTTATTGTGGGCACCCACATCTCCTTTGCAGACCTCAACCTGCTGAACTTGCTGCTGATTCTCCAGGTCCTGGCCCCAGCTGCCTGGACTCCTTTCTCCTGCTCTTGGTCTCTGTGGGGTACTTCCATGCCTGTCCCAAGCTCAGGCCTTCCCCTTCTCTTGGCATACAAAGCTACCCATCAACTGCAACAGGAGGAAGGGAGACCATGTGGCACCCTCTGTAAGGGGTGGGGGCTACATGCCTTCCTTTCTCCAGGACCAATAAAATTTTCAAGCAAGGGGGGAAAAAAAGAAGACTGAAGAAAAATCCTCAGAAACACATTTTAGATAAGGACATAAAAACAGAAGCAAATAGAGGAAAGTGAGGGTATGGTTACTAAATGAAGGTAATATAAGAAGGCTCACATGTTATATTTTGGAAAGTTTGGCCAGGTGGATTTTCAAATTCTGGGACCGTCCCAAAATCAAACTTAAAAGTTATGATAATTTGGAAACATGTATCAAAATGATAGAAATAAATCATTGTTATAAATCATTACTTGGAGATAAGTGCAAGACTTTTTTTTTTAATGGTGCATTCCATCTAATTGGAAACAAAGTAAATATTAACAGAGATATTTGGAAGTGGAGAATCTTATTCAATGGATAATTTCACTAGGTCTACAGTTACTTGGCCTTAGTACTAGGTGTTTGGTTTAGGGAGGACTTCAGTTTTATTTACACTTGTAATTCAAAAATAATTCTGGTTAGGAGTGGGGGTGAAAATCATATAATGTCCATAAGCAGGAATTGGATTCCATTTTATAGGATAATAGTTTCTCAGACCCCACTGTTCCGATTACTACTACTACTAATAATAATAATAATGAAAAATGCAGCTGGTTTCTGTTCTTTAGTTCTTTGTTAGCGGAGTATTGTTTGTCTGTTGTTTTACCACCTGACTATAAACCATGCCCTGTGTAGCCTGTGTCCTCTGCCTGGCCTCCTTTATTCTTCCTGAACTCTCTGGGAACTGGAGAAATAGAATATTTGTTACCAAAGGATCGGATTAGTTGTTTGTCTTATATGTCTCTTCCAAGGAAACCTCATGTTTAGTAGAGTGTCTAATAAGTACTATTACTTCATAAATTTTGAATAAGTGTAACCATTATAAGATGAAGTATTTTTAGATTTTATATACCATCAAGATTTGCAAATACATACATATTAAATGAGTTTATAAACTCACATAAGAAAAACATGCCGTCAGTGTCTACAAAATTAAATAATAAAATTGCCACATAAATGGATGCCTAGGATATTGATAAAAAGTAGAATTAAGAACTATACATGCAACCAATTATAACAACCCTCAAAAGTGAATTACAGTGATGGGTATAGAAAAGCTGAGAATACTTATTTTTCTTGTACCTAAGCCTATGTTTTACCTAGAGCTCAGCAAATAAGGACTTAGAGTAAAATAAAGGCCTATATATATATGTATATTATATTAAAATATATATATAACATATATATATTTTAAATTTGACTTCTTGACAGAACCTTCAGAAACATTTCTATTTATGTGCACATGGTAAATACCAAACAGGTGAGCTTGTATCTACCATTATTATTCTGTATCTGAGAGACAAATGATCTATTTGAACACAATGACCTTATGATCAATCATGGAGATCAACTAACATGGAACCCACAGTGAAACAACTCCAGCGTCCGATTTTTCTGGGAAAACATCTGCTACCAACTGAGTATGTTTACATTTCAGCAGCACTGACAGATGTGCTCATAGACAGCCCATCTGTGTGGTGTTGGGAGGCTAGAGGTAAGGAAGCTGGGCTGGACAGACAGCAGAGAGCTTACTATAATACACTGAGTTGCTCTAGAAAGTGCAAATTATCACCTCATAGCATTTTTTTCTTCTTGTGCTATTCATGCCTTAAAGCTAACTAACTTGTTTGCATTGCCCAGAATGAGCGAGAAACTTAGGTTTGGGACTGCTATGTATATATACATATATATCAGAATAAACAAATAAATTTTATAAAATAAATACATCAGTTTAAAATATTTTTATTCTTGAAAATATTATTAATATTTGGGTCTATGAGAAAAATAACACTGAATAAATTTATTCTTTTTTTTTTATGTTTTATTTATTTCTAGGAGAGAGAGAGAGAGAGACAGCGTGAGCAGGGGAGGGTCAGAGAGAGAGGGAGTCACAGACTGAAACAGGCTCCAGGCTCTGAGCTGGCAGTCAGCACAGAGCCCGACGCGGGGCTTGAACCCACGAACCGCGAGACCATGACCGAAGCGAAAGTCGGACACTTAACCGACTAAGCCACCCAGGCGCCCCGAACACTGAATAAATTAAGTACCAGTCATTCTGCCTGCTCTTACATGTTTTCTTCTCTGTGCTGTTTGTTATATTCTGAAGTATTATCCAAAGTGTGTTGCATAGAATATAATTTCACATTTAATAGAAGTTATATGTAAAATTACCTATGTATTTTTAAATAGAAATTTCTTTCTTTATTGTAAGGTATCTCAGATCCTTTACTATAGTGATATATTCTCTGAATCTCCAAGGGAGAGGTACACAAAATTCTCATCCAAAGAGCATATTTTTGTGGGACATGTCCTGGACTAGTATTCTCCTGTGTTTACTTGAGAATTTCTACTTTGGTAATTGGGTCAGAAATCAGCAATCTGGAAGCAAAAAAGTAAAAAAAAAAAAAAAAAGACATTTACATTGGCATTCAATTATTTAACATAATTTGTTTATTGAAGTTCCAGAAACTAAGTAACTAAGTAACTGAGATGTATCTTAAGAATGGATCAAACACTGGGGTTCCTGGGTGGCTCAGTGGTTAAGTATTGACTCTAGATTTTGGCTCAGTTAATGATCTCATGGTTTGTGATATCCAGCTCCAGGTCTGGCTCTTTGCTGACAGCATGGAGCCTCTTTGGGATTCTCTCTCTCTCCTCTCTTTCTGTCCCTCCTTCCCTCCCTCCACCCCCCCCCCAAATAAATAAATAAAAGAATGGATCAAAAATAATTTCATGCATACATCTAATATTGCTTTTTCTTTCATGGTCTT